CTCTGGGTATGTCTATGAGGGAGTTTCCAGAGAGAAAGATGGTGGTGCCATCGCATACCCTGGAGTCCAAGACAGACTAGGAAAGAGCAAAGAAGAAAGCATGCAAGTGCAGTCTCTCTCTGTCTCTGTCTCTCTCTGTCTCTCTCTGTCTCTCTCTGTCTCTCTCTCTCTGTCTCTCTCTTTCTCTCTCTCTCTTGGAAGAATCTCAGACTTTCTGCTGTTTCCGTCATCACAAGTGCACAGGGATCCTTCATCCCTTAAATTCCTCTCCTCTCCTGTTCTCTCACAGCGAGAGACGCCCCCACTGTGTACAACACACGGGGCAGGGCAGACTGGAGCTCAATGTTCCTCAGCTGCTGCAGCCATTCAGCAGAGAGCTGATAACACCATGGCTGTGGACATGGGCAGTGGGAAGGGAACTGAGCCATGGACTGGGTAGACCAGGAAGCCCCCAGGGAGGGAGGCACAATGGCTCTGGAGTTCAGTGAGATTAGCAATGTGAGGAAGCAAAGAGGGGAATCAAGGTTGCCCTCCCATTTTTAAATATGTTAAATTTGAATGTCTGCCTGCTCAACATGCAGCTGGAGTTGTTCCCCGAGGGCTGGGATTTTGCCTCAGTCACCTGTGTGGCCTCATCAAGTGGCAAAGCAAAGATTTAGTTCTGCTTATTTATACAACTAACATTTCTTTATTAATTATTTCATTTAGGGTGTGCATGTGTGTTTGTGTGTGTGCACATGTATGTACACATGTATGTATGTGAGTATAGGCACATCAACACATCTGTACATATGTAGGCGTCAGAGCAATAGACTCTTGGGAGTCTGTTCTCTCCTGCCACCTTGTGGGATCTTGGAATCAAACTCAGTTAGTCAGACCTGAGGTGTGTGCCAGCACCTCTACCCTGGATACGTTCAACCAATATTGATTAGTCTGTAACTTTATACCAGATATAGAGCTTGGCATAAAGTAGGAGCTCAGTGGTTTTTCGAATGAACTAAATTAACTTTTATGGATTCCCACTAGGAGAATATGGAACTGACTTTCATATGACTGTCAGTTTAATGGAGATTGTTGAAGGAGTAGAAACATAACGGGAAGAGGAAATCTAATACTCTGTATCTGCAGTGATGAGTCACGGGGCACAATGGGCATCCACCTTGCCTTCTGCTGGGTCCCTTAGTCTAGAAAATATCATCCACTGTCATTTTCAGAAGCTGGGGAGAGATGGAATAGATGAGTTGGGTTGTCACTTATATAGTTTATCTTAGTTCCCTTTCTATTGTTGTGATAGATATCATGACCAAGGCAACATATAAAAACGTTTAATTTGAGCTTCTAGTTTCAGAGGCTTAGAGTCCATGATGGTGGGCACAGGGCATGGCAGCAGGAACAGCTGAGAGCTCACATCTTGATCCACCAGTCACAGGCAGACAGAGGGAACACCAGGGATAGAATAGCTACAGTCTTTTGAAATCACAAAGCACATTCCAGCAACACACCTCCTCCAACAAGGCCAAACCTCCCAATCCTTTCCAAACAGTTCCACCAACTGGAAACCAAGTAGTTAAAGAAATGAGCCTATGGGACCATTTTCATTTAAACACTATATATTTATACCTAAGACATAAACCATGCTTTGTAAGATTTTTTCTACACTTATTCCACATTTTTGTATATTTTCTTGCTAAAACTTTTCCTTGGATGTTGTATTAGTTACTTCTGTGCTGCTGTGAGAAAATACCCTGACAAAAAGCAGCTTAGAGGAGGGAGGTTTTTTTTTTTGGCTTATGGTTCCAGAGGGAGTATAGTCCATGATGATGGGAAGGCACGACATCAGGAACTTGAGGCCAGCCCAGCAGTCAGAAAGCAGAGTGATCACATTTCATCCACACATGGTGGGGAGGAAGAGAGAGAGAGGAGGGAGGGGATGCAGTCTACAAAACATCAAATCATGCCCCCCTGCCATGATGTGCTTTTTCTGCAAGGATCCACCTTCTAAAGGTTCCATAAACTCCCCAAACAGCACCACCACCGGGGGCCAAGTGCTCAAGTACATGAGCCTATGGAGGGCATTTCATGTTCAAGTCACAACAGGTGTTGACATTCTTCAACACCCCAAGCTATCTGTCCTAGGTGACTGCAAGAAAATAAAGACCTCTTTGTGCCTGGGATCGTATGGGGAGAGACCTACTGCAGGGCTAATAACTGTGGTCAGGATCCTAACAATAGAGCAGGCACCAAGGGAAGTAAGAACTTAAGGAAAAGTGAAGCAAGCTGCAAAAAACCCTTTTTCCATCTGAGAATTCATTTTCCAGAGGTCTTTGATTGGGTGTTAATGGTATTGTGTAGCATTGTGGGTAAGAGTGGGCATCAATCAGAATGCTGGGTTGGAAGCTTTCCAATGCAGATTATGAGTACTTGCGGAAAGCGTGTACTCTTTGGGCTTCCACTGTCTCATATGTGGGATACACAATAGTCAGAGTTGCTTCATTTTGTCACATACTAAATAATTTGCCAGTTTATGTTATTTTCTGTCTCCCTGTGGAATGTTAGCTGCGTAGAAGCAATGCTTTGGCTTGCTTCCTCTCTTGTGGCTGTGATCAAACACTCTAAGAGCAACCTCAGGGAGGAAAGGATTTATCAGGCTTACAGTTCTAGGTCATAGCCCATCATTGGAGGAAGTCAGGGCAAGAACTCATGTAGGAGCTTGAAGCAGAAACCATGGAGGAGTGCTGCCTGCTGGCTCAAAGGCTAGCTTTTGTATACAGCCCAGGGAAGGGCACTGTGCACTGGGCCCTCCTACCTCAATAGACAATCAAGATAATCCCCTTCAGACATGACCACAGGCCAGTGTGATCCCAGTAATCCCTCAGTTGTGATTCCCTCCTCAGGTTACCCTGGACACATCAACTTGACAGTCAGAGCTATCTAAGTCATCCTTTTATGTATCACATACATCAGACATGTGGTTACTATAGAGACCATACCAAAACACAGGGAGAGAAGAAGGAATGACCAGGGCTGAGACAGAAGGTTAAAGTAGCCATAAATGCTTGGAAGCCACAGAAAGAAGGGATTTCACAATACTGGTAGTGAGGCTGGTACTGCAGAGAGATGGCAAAGAGGAAGTCCAAGAGCAGGTCTTTGGATTGGGTAATCAGCATACTGGTGCTGGAGGAGCCACAATGCCATTGATGGTGACAGGAAAATCTGGCAGTTGGGGAATTCTTAATTAGGAAATTAAAAAGGTGGGAAGACACAGTGGCAAAGTCGAAGCTGCTAGCTCTAGGAGTTTAGCAAGGAGAAGGGCAGGCTGAAACCTGCTGACAGGAGGCTCGAAGGTAGAGGTCTAGGCCTGTGGCTGCTGTTGTCATTATTATTTTGAGACAGAGTCTTGCTGTGATGACCATGCTCGCCTTGAAATTTCTTCCTGCTGCTTCAACCTCTCAAGGACTCAGATTGTAGGTATATGCTGCTGTGCCCAGGCTAAGAGTAGTGTTTTGAACCAAAGAAGGAAGGTTCCAGAGAGAGGGAGAGATGGAGAATGTGGAGAGGATCTGTAGGTTAGATGTCAAGGTAGAGGAAAGCTGTCACAGAAATGCCTGGCAGAGGCTAGTGAAAGAGAGAAACGATGGGAAGGAGGGGCGTTTGTGAAAATGGACCATCAAGGGAGCTGAAGCGGAAGTCATCTGTGAAGTCAGTGAGGTAAGTGCTGTGGTGGTCTGGCTGTGGTTTGCTCAGGACTTGAGAAGGATGGGAAAGATAAGGAAGAGCTGAAAATAGAAATACAATAGAAGTTAGTAGAGAGAATGAAGGATTTCTCAGTGGACCCAGGCGAGGTGGGCTTAAATAGTGAGAACATATTGTAGATCATATCTATGGACAGATCCAAGGGTATGTGGCTTTGTTCCCCAGCAATGCTCACTGTTCAAAACATGGGTCAAAACCAGAATGGCATCCAGATGTGGTGGCACACACCTGCATTCCCAGCACTGAAGGAGGCTTTGGCAAGAGGATCATACATATGTCATCAGCTTAGACTATGTATTGAGACTCTGTATAAAGAAGCCAACACAACCCAGGCTGTCTGGCTGGAATAACGTAAGAATGAAAATTAGACAGGAGGGTATAGTGATAGATACATGGGCCCCTGAACACCAGGATGCTGATGAGAAAATGAGGAGGAAAAATCAGAGTTGAACCTCAAAGACAGAAATCGGATTCAAAAGCAGTAGGAGAGGATGGTGGGGGAGGAGATTTCTATTTTTTATAAAAGTTATGTGGAAGCAATGAAATTGAATGTTTTAATGAATTAGCCCAATAAAACAATGTGCTTTGTTCCTTTGGATGCACAAGGGTTCAGGCTGTCTCTGATTGATAGTAATTCATGATTAGGGTAGAAAAAAAGCTAAAGGCAATGTTTCTTCAGGTCCATGTTTAGCAATGAGAAGCAGGAGACACCTACCCTCGTCTCCACCAGCTTCTTTGAAGATACTCTTTGGAAAGAGAGCCTAGGCTGGATTCCCTGAAGTTCATTTTTGGACAGATGCTAAAACATTGTGCATTAAGCAGTGTCCATGCTAAAGTGTTTTGTTTCTATTTTCTTTGGCTGAAGCAAGAATTACAAGAGTGACTTTAGCAGAACATAGGATAGACTCTTATCAGTGGTGGAGCCCTGAGTCCATCAGCTTTGAGTATGCTAAGTGGTTTGTATTAGCTCCAGTAATCTTCACATCGTCCAGTCCTGTGTCCACCAGCATGTGAGGAGGTGGTCCAAGCAATGTGCTTCTTTGGACTTTGGTTAAAAATAACAGCACAGATGCCTATTCTGCCTATAACTAAAACTCTTCTATATGAAAAAGGAGCAGCCAGTATTCTCAAGGTGGTGATCTAGGCTCTGTCCAGCAGCCATTAGGTGGTGCTGCCTCCCCAACATTCTGTCCTCTGTCAGGCCACCTAGCTGAGCTCTGCTGCCTTTAGTGTTGGTTACATGACAATATCCTCGATTCCCATACAAAAGGTGGCAGTGGTTGAGAATTCTGTTATCTCTGTGAAACTTACCCAGTCTCCTTTCTTTCTCAAGAACAGCCAAGAACTGCCAAAGGGAAGCCAATGTCTGGGAACCGCCAAAGCAGCCACTGATATTTGAAGAGCACCTTCTACTTTACAAAGAATTCTCACAGGTCCGAGTTTCTGGGACATAGTCGGTAAGCCCCCAGGATTTTGATTGATTGAATAAATGACATACTGCATGCAGATAAAGTCAGCCAATTCTATCGTGATGTTTGGTGATGTAGAAATTGCGTCAAGGTTTATGGTTCTCTGTGGGGAAGTCTCTGTGAGCTGTATTGTATTTTGGTTATTTTGCATCCTACTTCAGGACATTGTAGAATTAGCCTTGTTTGTGGAAAAATTAAAAAGCAGTGTTTTACGTAGGCACATATTCTTTGTGTGTCTCTCCCATGTGCTCATGTGTGCATGGGTTTATTGGCAGAAGCCAGCGGAGGATATTGGGTGTTCCATTCTACCACTCTCTGCTTTCTTTCCTGGAGACAGGGTCTCCCACTGAACCTGGAGATGAGCTCCGATGGTCTTCCTGTCTCAGCCCAAAGTGCCAGGGACACAGGCGCACGTGGCCATGCCCAGCTTTTTAAAGTGGATGCTGTGGGCTGGACGTGAGGTCCTCGTGTTTACACAGTGAGCTCTCCGGCCCTGGGAACATATTAAGTTTTTTTTTTTTTTATGTTAACTAAAAAGTTTTAAATTTGTGTGTGTATGTGTGTCTGCATTTATGTGTACAAGTGCAGCAGCTTGTGTGTGACAGCATGTGTGTGAAGGTCAGCTCCAGGTGTTGCTCTGGGCCTTCCTGTTGGCGACAGGATCTCTTTGTTGCTTGCTGCCATGTGTTCTAGGCTAGCTGGACCAGGGACTTGGCTGGAAAACTTCCTGCCCACCTCACATTTCACAGAAGGGGCACTGAGATCGTAGGCATGAGCAACTACGCCTGGTTTTACATGGGTTCTGCGGTCTGAACTCAAGTTTCCTCATGCCTGTGGGACAAACACTTTTCCCCTCTGAACCTCCTTTCCAGATGCCCTCTTGGTCTTTTTAAATATAGAGAGGAAGTATGTGTTCATTTTTCATCTTAAGTTAATTGTTAATTTGGTACATGAAGTTGCATGTGTCGCGGGAGCATTTTCCTGATGTCCACCACTGTATCCTGTTACTGTTTGCTCCTCTCCCACCGTCTCCTCGCTCTCCTTCCTCCTGCTGGTCTCTTCATCCCCAGCAGGACCCTTTCTCCTCTCATGTAACATATATTTCATTACCTTCTCTTTACGTGCACGCGACACACACACACACACACACACACACACACACACACACACACACACACACACAATCTGATTCTACATTGGAGAGAAAACACACAATACCCACCTTCCTGGCTTATTTTGCATGACATAATGAGCTCCAGCTCAATCCACTTTTTTCCTGAAAGTGTCATATTTTCATTTTTCTGGCTGAATACAATTCCATTGTGTATGTGTACCTCATATTTTAAAATCCACCCATCTATTGACAGACATCTCAGTGAGTTCTAAAACCTGGCTCTTATGGAAAGTGCAGTAATGTTGTGCACACATCTCTCTCATATGCCGGTTTAAATCCCTTGGGTAAATACCCAAGAGTGGTAGAGCTGGGTGGGCCATATGATAGTTCTATGTTTCGCTTTTCTAAGGGAACTCTGTGCTGGTTTCCATAATGGCTACTCCAGTTTACATTCCTCCCAGGAGTGTGTGAGGACCCGTCTTTCCTCTGCACCTTGGCCAGCATCTGTTGTTGCCTTTTCTTTATGATAACCCCTTTGACTGGAGTGAGATGAAATCCTAAAGCAGTTTTTTTTTTCATTTTAATTTTTTTTTATTAAAACTCTATCTCAATTCAAACAGATAGGACATAGATTATTCTGGGATTATTAAAAGTTATTTTTTCCTTACATTGATTTATTTTATTTTATTTTTCTTTATTAAGAAATTTTCTACTCACTCCACATACCATCCAAAGACCCCCCTCCTCCCTCCTCCCACCCCCCAGCCCTCTTTCCTAAGCCACCCCACATCCCCACATTCCCCCATCCCCCAAATCGAGGTCTCCCATGAGGAGTCAGCAGAGCCCAGCACACTGAGCCTAGGCAGGTCCAAGCCCCTTCCCACTGCAGCAAGGCTATGCAAGGTGCCACACCACAGGCACCGGATTCCCAGCAGCCTGCCTAAAGCAGTTTTAATGTGCTTTTCTCTGACATTTAGCTCTTTTCCTAATGAAAAATCTTAAAATAGGAATCACGATAAATACTTTACATGGCTCTTACGTATTTCATTTAAACTTAAACCCACAATTATACTCTAGTTCCGTAGCCTTATGAAGTAGTTCACGACCTCACTGTTGAGTGTGACCCTGTGATTAGTGTTTTTCATTGGCGCCCCTCACATGTGACATCCATGCAGCATCCGTTATGGGGCCCAGTTTCGGTGTCTGAAGTGGCAGGAAGGGTGTAAGGACCATACAGAGCAGATTGTTGTTCTCCTGGCTTTCCTGACCATTGCCTTCCCAATCCCTCCACTTGCTCCTTTGCTTGGATGGAATTTTTAGGTGACTTGTCCACATGCTTCTTTCTGATAGGATTTTTATAAATGATAAGTTTTGCTCCCTATATGTATATAACTTATTTTTTTACAAATTATTTTTATTTATGTCTGTGTGTGTCTATGTGAGTTTGTGCACATGTGTGTGATGCCTGTGGAAGCCAGAAGAGGGCGTTGGATTCCCTGCAGCTGGAGTTACAGGCAGCTGGGAGTCACCTGAGAGAGGTATGGGACCAAATTCAGGTCCTCTAAAAGAGCAGTGGGCTCTCCTAATCTCTAAGCCATTTCTCCAGAGCCAGAGCTGATAGAAATTGTTTTAAATATTATTTAATTAAATTACATAATAAGAGTACATGTGGTGTCACTGGATTTAGATACAGGATTGTCTGCCTTTTGCTGAGCACACAGCGTAGAGACCACTGCTAGATGTGTGTGTGTGTGTGTGTGTGTGTGTGTGTGTGTGTGTGTGTGTGTGTGTTGATGGGTTGCTTATTTGGGAGAGTTCACAATTATCACACAGAAACACAGTGCTTTCTGATGCATCTTGTCTTTAAACAAACCCAGTTTAAAGTTCTTTAGAATTTCATCTTGTCATAGGGATTCAGATAGTAAAGGTATATATAAATCAATTCAATTTGCTTATTCAAATAGGTTTGAGTGTACAGTATATCAAATTGTCTAACTCCTTCAAGTTTCCCCCTTTTGTTTTGTTTTATATATATATACCAGGAATATCTACATCCAGTCACAATAGTCAAGGAACTCTCTGTGTAATTTGATGTTGGAAATCAATACTGCATGTCTCTGACCGAATGGGAAGGTGGAAATGAAGACTCTCATTGCTCCAGGTGGACTGGTAAGTGTTGGTTCCTGCCAGCCCACAGTCAGTCACAGGACCTGCAGTCACTCTGTGTTTTCATTGCTTCTCATATTTTGCAGCTCAGGGCTACTGCTTGTTCCGACTAATGATAGGGCCAACCTTGACTGGGAGCCCTCTGAACCTTCTGGGGTGGGGGTGGGGTGTACGCTCTATGCTTGTCCACTGCTTGATGTCAGCCTTCATAGAAGACAGAATAGAAATCTTAATGAAAGAACAGAGGGCTGAGATTTCACTGTGTGCTCATCTAACGCCTAAAATGTGGAGACTGCATTTGATTTTCAAGTTATCCCAAGCTCTCTCGGCAACTCTGCTCCCTTTCCTCTTTTCTGGACATCACAGCCTCACTACAAAGCTTTTTTTCAAGGGAAAACTTCTTAGAATTCTAATCACTAGCTCCTGCTTCATGTCAGTCTGTTTGTTTGGGATACCATGTCCTTTGAATGACTGCTTTCAGTGAAATCAAAGGGGACTGCAGGACCTAAGACTTAGGTAATGCAACATGTGCTTCATACCACTTGATGAATTCTTCTTGCAATTGGTGGCGTTAGGAGAAGTGAATCTTTAGAGATGAGGCCTGGGGTCTTTGTTCTAGACTGTTTGCAGAATTCTAAATTAGCATCAGGAAGGCACTCTGTAGAAACAGCCACTTAGGGAAACATTAGAAGCAACTTGGAGCCAGGTCTGTGATCTGAGAAGACCCCTGCACGGAAGCCATGGTGAGTCCTTGTCAGGTGCCCAGGGAAGCAATGAGCGACAGTAGCTGGAAGGATCGCTTATGGTTGTCAACTCGATTGGGTTTGGAATCATCCAAGAGACTCACTTTTAGGTCTGTAAGAGTGTCTCCAGGAAGGATTGATTGAGGGGAGAAGAGCCCAGATATGAAGGGATCTTAGGAAAAAGCAGCTTTGCATGCTGCATGCCTTTGCTGACTGTGGCTCTCCTGCTGCAGCTGGTAGCATGCTTCTCCGCCATCAGAACCCAGTCTCTTCAGCCTCCTCACAGGGTCTGAAGACCATAGGTTCTCTGAGAATCCTCCAGGCTTTCGGCATCGGATTGGAACTGCTGAGGCCCTCAGCCTCATGGACTGAGCAGCACCAGGTGCAGACAGTCACTGTTGAATTTACTAATCTATGTTATGGAATCTCCTAAAACCATATATATATGGGGGGCAATTCTTAAAGTAAAGTTATCTTTTGGGATATTTTTAGGGCATATTCCATGAAGGATACCACACCTTCTGCCTACACTGGCTGACCTCAAGGGCAATCTCCCTTTCCATCTGCTACCCTTCTGGACTAGCTTTCTGACTATACTGGAAGTGACTTACCTTGCTTAAAAATGAATTTTCAGCGTCGTCTGTACTCTTCATTAGGGGGAAGAACTTACCAGAATTCCACTGGGCACACAAGATAGGGACCATCTAAGTTTTCTTTGACTCCTGACCCAAATCTGAGTAATTTTCTCATCTTCGTTCTAAAAAGGGGAAATGTAAAGTTGAGAAAGAGAGAATTCCCACAGCTGGTAAGTGAGAAAGGTGGGTTTTAAATACCATTCTGCTGTCTCCCCCAAACCATTGATGGTGCTCTCTGAGGTCCACATGAAGTGTCACTCATTGCTATTTGCTTTGGATGAGAGAAGCATATCACATTCCTTCTAGCATCCCAACTTGTGGTTAAGAAAAGTAACTAAAATAAAATGCACAACTTAGGTTAAATTTTTATTCTATTAATAGATCAGCATGCACACTACAAAACAGATACCACACGTTTGTCATAAATATACATTTTGAGGAAAAAGTCGGTAGCGGGGTCTCCTAAGTAGGGGGGAGAATGGAGACCGGCCTGTACTGATGACATCAGCTCAACTGCCAGCTCCATTGTCACCTAGATGCCAAACTAGAGATTCTTGTAGCAAGCTAGACTTGGGCAAGCTACCACCATCTGGTGAGGTCATTGTCTGGTGACCTTGAGGTAGCCGCCTCTGAGATGCAAGTTCTCCAGAACCTGCTTTGTGACACAGCTCCCACCCCCCAACCCCCGCTCGGCCCCGCCTGCCCACCCCAGTGCTTCTTTCAGATAGGTGGACTGTGCAACGAGAGTGATTTTCTTCGCAAGTGTCTGTTGATGTGTGCACTAACAGGAGGGATGACCGCACATGTAACTGAATAACATAGTGAGGAAAGTTTTCAAACGAAGAGCATACCCCGTGGATAGCGTCGCGGAGCTTAAAAGCCACCCAGATGGACTTTCTGACTTCTTTCTACACCAGCCTTCCCTTTTTGTTCTTGGGGAATCACCAGAGAGATTTTTATAAGCCTTTGAATTAGAATCAAGGCTCAGAAAGATGCTGTATTGTGTCTTAAAGAACGGTGTGTGCCTCTATTAAACCTGAACTGCCCTACCCAGTGGCGAAGATGGAAAAGAATGACCATGCCTGGAACACTTTCATTCTGCTGTGTCTATTCTGTACAGGGCAGCTTCTCAGCTGCCTTCCCAAAAGGGTGCTGGGGCAGCTGTTTCTCAGAGACACAACCTAGAGGCAGTCCCCAGCGCCTCACCCCAGCACTGCCTCCCACACTGCAAGCCATTTGTCCTCTGCTGTGCCTATCACACAGGATTGCTACTCATCTGAATCGTATTTAGGATGCAATACAACATGCCCATTCTCTCCAGGAGCACCACATTCCATTGTAAAAGATTTCCTAGGCCTCTCACCCGCCTCTCCTCACAGTTTCCATGGCAACGTTGGCTCTGATGGCACCTCGGTACTGGTGCTATCATGGAGGCCATTTCTTCTCATCACTATTGCTGCCTGTTGCCATCATCATCATTTTGACTGTCAGTCAGTTATCCTGATCCTAAACATCTGGCCTTCGGGGAATGTCTCTTCAAAATCATTGAAAAGCAAAAATAAAGAAAAAGAGAGCGCAATTATCAACAGATTACCAGCGATTTATCCCTTTTTATTTTTCCCTTTTAATTTTTTCCCACAAAGTCTTTGTAATTCTTTCAGAATAAGTTTGTATGATACCAACATAGCCATTGTTTCTGTTATTATTATTTTTTAGAGCACCTTCACCCCCAGCCCTGTGTTGGTGAGGAGAGGGGAATTACACAGCAAAAGTTTCCCAATATCATTAAGTGAAAGTTTCCTGGTCATTTAGGACTGAGTTCAGTAGAATCCTACACCTCCTGCCTTGAGCACACCTGCTGCCAAGCTTCTGAGCCTCCCTGAGGCTGAGAGAGCATAGGCCTCTTTTGGGGTGGCATGGAAGCTGGGCTACCCAGGACACCACCTATCTTTAGATCTCCTTAGATCTAGCCCTCTGGTTACCTGAACCCCAAAACCTCAGCTTAGTCTCTGTGGCTTCTCTCAGCTGTCTTCTCTGGTGCTTGTCACTTTTTCAAAAGGATTGGAGGGTTTGATGGGTTTTCATTATAGGGACCAGCTGTCCCCCAACTATCTGTTTGTGCCGTCCTTTCACGGCCTTTCTCTGCCTCTTTCTAGTATTTTCCCTGGAGATTCTTGCGTTCATAGTCCTTGCTCCTCCCGTTTCGTCAGTTTCAGTAGCAGCCCCTAAGAGAATTGCTCTGCACGTTGGCTTCCGTCTGTACTTAGCTATGCTTGTAGGGCCTTCAAATGGAGTACACACACCGGTTCTCTGAGGCCAGGGAGACAGAACCCGACACCAGTTCCTTTCCTCGGCACCGCGAGAGCTTGCTTTCTACTGATGTCCCAGATTTTGCCTCACTGCATCCCAGTCACCAGAACAGAGTCCCAATGCCTCCACCAGTGGAGAGGTGACATACAGGAGCCAGGAGCATCTTGTGGAAGTGACAGTGTGGAATGACGTCAGCCTATGTCTTCAGACACACATCTCATCCAAAAACAGCCCAAGCCACTCAGCACCAGCTCATGGATGCTGTCCCCATGTGAGTTCAGTATGGCCTCATTTTCCAATTTTTATGAACTTAGAGGACTTATTTTTTAAAAAGATTTCTTGTTAATTAATTTTTTTCATTTATTTTACATACCGACCACAGTTTTCCTTCCCTCCTCTCCTCCAGTTCCCTCCCCCCACCTCCTATCTACCCCACTCCCCATCCACTCCTTCTCCTCCTCCCTTCACAAAGGGGCAGGTCTCCCATGGGTGTCAACAAAGCATGGCACATCAAGTTGAGGCAGGACCAAGCTCCTTCCCTTGTGTCAAGGCCAGGCAAGGCAACCCACAATGGGGAATAGGTTCCCAAAAGCCAGCTCAAGTACTAGGGACAGAGAGGTCCTGATCCCACTGCTAGGAGCCCTACAAACAGACCAAGCTACACAACTGTCACACATATTCAGAGGGCCTAGGCCAGTAACACACAGCCTCCTTAGCTGTTGGTCCAGAGTCCATGAGCTTCCAGGAGCTCAGGTCAGCTGTCTCTGTGGGTTCCCCCATCATGACTTTGATCCCCTTGGCTTATACAATCCCTCCTCCCTCTCTTCAACAGGATTCCTGGAGCTCAGCCTAGTGCTTGGCTGCGGATCTCTGCATTTGTTTCCATCAGTTACTGATGAATGTTCTCTGATGACAATTAGGGTAGTCACCAATCTGATTAAAGAAAATAGACAATTCAGGCATCCTGTACACTATTGATAGGAGTCTTAGCTGGGGTCATCCTTATGGATTCCTGGGAGTTTCCCTGGCACCAGGTTTCAAGTGTCCCCCACCCCCATCAAGACATCTCTTTCATTACTTTCCCACTCCGTCCTGCCCCCAACTTGACCAACCCAACCCCTCATGTTCCCATCCACCATCACCACCCCACCCAAGTTTACCCTTACCCAGGAGACCTCTTCTATTTCTCCTTCTCAGGAAAATCCATGCATCCCTCTTTGGGCCCTCCTTGCTACCTAGACTCTTTGTGTCTGTGGATTATAGCCTGGTTATCTTTTACTTATACCTAATAACCACTTATGAGTGAGTACATCAT